ATGATGGACAGTATGCTTTCAGAAAACCTGAAACACATGTACTGATGCAAAGTGAAGTAAGCAGATCCAGGAGAACATTGTAACAGTAATAGTAACAGTAATATTATATAATGATATATAAATATAATGATCAACTGTGAATGACTAAGCTATTCTCAGGAATACAATAATCCAAAACAATTCCAAAGGACTCACGATAAATATATTTACCTCCAGAAAAAGAACTTATGGAATCCAAATGTAGGTCAAAATATACTGTATTTTTTTTTTTTTCTTTCTTTATATTTTTTGTTTGTTTTGTTTCATTTCTGGTCAGTATTTGCTTTCATAACATGACTAATATGGAAAAAAGTCTTTTCGTGACTGCACATTTATAATCAATGTAAAATTGCTTCCTTTCTCAATGAGTAGGGGATAGTGACAGGGTGGAAGGGAATTTGCAATTCAAAATTTTTAAAAAATGTTAAAAATTTGTCTTTTCATGAAATTAGAAAATTGTTGTAAACAATTTAAAATACTAAAAATTATAGAATTTCTTGATGGCTGTATCTGCTTATGTCCACTTTGAGCCACTCCATTGTCTTCTGTGTAATACTTATTACATTACAATGATCTCCCAGGAGGTTCTGCAATATCTTCAGACTTCATGCTCTCAGAACAACATCATCCTCAAACTGTAGTGTCTGGAATACCTTAGCCTTCACAAGGAAACTCTTTTTGGCATAAGATTCTCCACTAAATCTCCTCCATTGAAATAAACCTTTCGTAAGTGTATAGTTTTCTTCTATGATGTTTATAATCTGAGAGTGATCGATCAATTATTTCTGTTGCTACAGAAATCTTGAATGATCTTGATGTATGGATAGTTCCCAGCTTCCTCACATTACTGCCTTTTATTCCATATTTCCACTGAATTAGCAAAAATATTTAATATAATAGCTTATTTTAAAAAGTACTATTTCTTTATCTTAGTCTTTACATTTTCTTTTGAATGTACATGATATATTAGTATAGTTTAAATTTATCGTATTATAAAATGAAACTTTACCTGTAAAGTACATGATCCAAAAGTTTATAAACCAACGAATAACATTGTGAAAAAATTTCACTCCTTAAAGAGAAAAATTCAAGATGAGAAAATGACAAGGAATGGTGAAGTCCTGTTTGTATATGTATAGTAAAATCAGCCATGGGGTCTTCAGAGAATGAATTGTTCCATACATCTGACTTCATCTGAAATCCTTATTTTCTAGATAGAGTTACACTGAAACTTTATTAATTTGGAATGTGTAATAACATGAATATGAGATAGAGAAGTTGAAAGTGTATTTTTGTACTTAACTGTAAATCATGTCTTACTAAGTACTTATTTTGGTATACAAATAATATTATATCATATATAAAAATATAGACCAATTATGGAAGAAACAAAAGTAAGTTCCAAGCAATATCTGTATACACACATGTATATTTATAAGTATATGTACATATATCTATAGATATAGATATATATCATTATATAATTTCTTTTTTAAAAAAATAATTATTTTAATTTTAAATTGCTTAGTTAGGGTGGAGTATCTATCTCTAACTATTCCTTACCTGAGCCCCGTATTTGTAGGTTAATGGTAAAATCATATCAAGCTACAAAATGGTTACCATGGTTGCCACATTGGTAGTTTTATAATGACGGTATTAAAATCTCATTGTTCCCTCTTGAAAATTTGGAGAACACTTTTGTTTACTTTAAGCTTGGCATTTTATATTTATTAATAGGAACACAAAAGACTTTAGGTTAAGTGCCTGCTTTGGAAAATCTGGTTTTGAGTTCTTTGTTATTTTTCCCTTATAGATGTCTGAAGTGATAGAAAAAAAAAGAGGTTCGGAAAATAGGTGTAATGGTATTTCTGAAACTTCTGACTACTTTCTTCAGTGGCTTATAGTGTCAGCTGCTACTTTGGCAGGTCATACCTTGGAATAGCATACATAAATACATACATACACAAATATATACATATTTTTATTTTATTACGTAAACACGTTTATATGCGCATAAATAGATGCACTTGTACATATAATGTATGCATATACATAAATGCATCTATTTGCCTATTAAATAAATGGATATATGTGTGTGTGTATATATATACTCTCATATACAAACATATACATTTGTCAGTCAATAAACTTCTATAAAGAGTCTGATCTGTGCCAGGCACTGTGCTGAGTGCTGGGAACATGAAGAAATGAATAAGACCATCCCTACCCTTCAGGAGCTCACAGTCTAATGAGAAAGACATGTAAAAAAGAAGCTGAAAAGTGGGGAGGAGGAAGTGGGAAATTATACGGAGAGGTGTGAATTTCCATGCTTATTCATCTTGCAGAGTGATGAGTTTCTGGAGATAATGAAGTCTAGGAAAGTTTGCATGTGGGAAATGATGAGGAAATTTTTCTGCATGCCTTCCTTGAATGACAGTGGTTTTAGGAGATATTCTAATATCCATCTTCCACTCTCCCCAAACAGAGGGAAGGAGGGGACCTGTGGTTAAGGAGTGCTGAGAAGGTGTGAGTTTCTGAGTTGATTTCATTTTGTGATATGATGAGCTTCTACAGCTAATATATGTCAAATGTTTGTCAATATATGTCATTTGACATATGTCAAAATGTTTTCTTTCCAATATTCTCATCTAGTATAGATCAAAAATATAATAATAAAATTTTAATACCTGGCTGTATCTGTGATTTCATTAATTTGATCAACACAGTCTGTCAGTTGTCTGTCAACACAGATTAGACTCCATCCACACCTTTTCAATCCATGTAACTCATGTCCATGTCCTCCCATGAATTTCCCATAGGAAGTCTATCTATTAGGTACATGCCACTAAATTTCTTAAAATTTTGTCTCTACCCATTCAATACATGGGCTGTCACATTGGCTAATTATAATTATTTTGTTTTAATTAATTAATTTATTTTTAGTTTACAACATTCACTTCCACAAGATTTTGAGTTCCAAATTTTCTCATCATATCTCCCCTCCTCTCACCTCGAATTGATAAAGGCTCAACATACACATTCATCTTAAACCTATTTTTACATTAGTCATGTTGTAAAGAAGATTTAAAACCAATGACAGAAACCATGAGAAAAAAATAGAAAGAGAGAGAAAGAGAGAGAGAGAAAGCAAATGATACGCTTCAATCTGCATTCAGATCCCATGGTTGTTTTTCTGGATGTGGATAGCATTTTCCATTGTTCATCTTTTGTAGTTCTCTTAGATCTTTGCATTGCTAAGAAGAGATGAGTCTATCAAACTTAGTCATCACACGTTGTGGCTGTTACTGTGTACAATGTTCTCCTGGTTCTGTTTACTTCACTCAGCATCAGTTCATTCAAGTCTGTCCAGGTTTTTCTGAAATCTGCCTACTCATCATTTCTTATAGCACTAATTATCATTCTTAATATTAAACTAGTCAGCATTTCTTGATCATTCAAGTCAAGTCAACATATGTCTTTCTGACGGCATTCATTATGTCACTTTCCTTGAAGAATTGTTCTTGGACAATATGTTTTAGTCTACTCATGACTGCCATGGACTTCTCCACAGCCATTTAATTGATCCTCAAATTTAATTATTTGGAGACATGATATCCAAGAACTTGTGCCATATGACAACAACAAATAAATCATTATTTTGAAAGATAGACTTTTATTTCATAGAGAAATTTAGAGCAATTAGAAGTACTTTATGATTTACTAAATGAAATTCAGCCCACTCTCCTCATCATCCTCTTCAATTCTGAACTCACCTCAAAACCTATATACTGCCTTTCCAATATATAATATTAATTGAACAATTTGTGGATTACTTAATAGAATTGCATATCATAATTGGGAAATAGGCATTTTTCACCTTTTTTTTCCTGAATAGGCTATACAATAAAATATAATACAATAAACTATGTGCCAGATACTAACATAGTGCACTAACTTTGCTAGACTTATCTCTTCAATTGCTCCAGGAGACTGCTATGTAAAGCAGTCACTGAAGTCACAGGAAGCAGGCAGGGTCCTCTACAGAAGGGGCCCCCTCTTCCTGCTCTACTTAGGCTCCTGGTACTGGTGCTAGCCTGAGAAGCTGAGGAATTTCTTAAAAGTCGTCCTGACCGTAGGAAATCTCTCGTAAGATGTGGATAAGCAAATACAAGACGCGTGAAAGCCCACATTGATGACTGAAAGCATGACTTCACATGAAACATTTCTCGGCCTTTGGCAGATTTGCTGCCGTTAGTCAACAAGCACTGAGGTGTTTACTCCCTCCAGAGCCCGAGCTAAGTTTGGGGGTACAAGAGCAGGCAAAATCACAGTTCCTGCCCTCAAGGAGCTTACATTGTAATGGGGAAACAGCAACTAAATTACCCGTACACACAGCAGATGCAGAGTAAGCCGGGAAGCCAAGGGGCACAGGCAGGAGGCAGGATCTAAGCCGAGTCTTAGAGGACCGCAGGGATGTCGAGGCAGAGCAAGCCGGGCATGAAGCTCGGCTGGTGCAAAGGTGCGGCATCAGGGGCAGTGACCTGTTGAGTAGGCCGGTGGAGCCGGATCACAGAGCGCATTTAGGGGAAGCGGGCACGAGGCTGTGCTAGTCAGAGCACTCTGTGTTGGGAGGGACACCGAAGGAGAGGTTAGATTTATTCTGTTTGGCCTCAAAGAACAGAATAAGCAGCAGAGGGGAGAAGGCGCAAAGAGGTGTATTTAGGTTTGATGCCAGCAAAGCAGTCTTAGGGAAACCAAGCAAGCTATTCACAAATGGAACGGGCTTCCCCAGGGGGCTGGCGGGCTTCCCTTCCTCGGAAGTCCCAAAGCAGAGACTGGTGACTACTTGGCAAACATAGTAGAGCAGGGATTCTTTTCTGGGTACATGTTGAACTCAATGGCCATCTCTCTGATCTCTAAATTCTGTGGAACCAATTTCTCATGTGTCTCATTTTGTATTCAGCCCTGTCCCATTAAGATAAGTTCACTTTATTAACCAAATTCATACCGGCTAAGCATCTCCCAAAGAGAGCCCCAAGAAAATCACCCTGCAAGGTACAGCTAATGCAATGAGTAGCAGGATAAACAAAATCTTGCGAGGTTTGAACCCTGGGCTGAATCTAATGATGAAACTGAACTGGGGGAAATGGAGACTTCAATGGGGGTGAAAAGTTCAGATGCGCATGTGCAAGATGGAGAAGTCAGAGACGCCAGGCAGTTTGTATCAGCAGACATCAATCTGACTACGGATAAGCACTTGCGTGACATGGCACCATGACATGCTGTGGAGGCAGAGGATTCGTACTGTCCTACACTAAGATGGAGAAGGGCTCACCAGACACGTCCCAAACTCCCCTTGAACTTGTCCCCAGGTCTGGTGCCACAAGAAGGACACTGAGGGGAGCAAAACCAGAATGGGGAGTGACGGAGTCTTGACATTGGAGAAAGGGTTGAGGGAACTAGGGGTGTTAGAGCCCAGAGCTTATTTTGGAGGAAGACAGAAAAGTTCTTTTCAAGTATTTGACATCTGAATACATAGGAGACAGATTAACCTTCCGCTGCTGTTGTAACCAGACGGGAGAAGTCAGAGCAGTGAGTGAAACTCACAGAGAAAATTGGGTCACTGAAGACTAAGGAAAGATTAAGGGAATCCAAACGGGTGCAGAATGGCTCGGAGGAGTTGCCCCCTCTTCACTAGAGGCTGCAAGAAAGCCTGGATTCCCCAGCGGCAGAGTGAGCCCCATGGCTGGGCACGTGGCAGAAACTATTCCCTTAGAGCTGGCTGAGTGCCTAGCCCTGAGTGCTGAGGCCAAGGCTGTGCACAGACCTGTGATGAGCTCAGATCTTCCAAAGGAAGGGAAAGGATACACTATTTCTGTAAAGGACACCTAAACTCACCTGGGGCCTGGCTGTCAGAATCCCAGAAGTCTTTGTTTCTCTGTGCTTCTGTCCTGAAGAAGGGCAGGCTCTTGAGAAGGCTGAGCTGTGGAGAAGTGATGAAGGAGATCAGGCCTGCCTTGTAGGTTCCCACACTCCTCACCAGACACCAGACTCCCTCATCCTGAAGCCTTTCTTCCATGTCAATGATACAGTCTGGCGCACCTCTCTATCATCTTTCTCCACCACTCTCCCGGGGCTGCCAAGTGTTTTCAAACAGATTTTAAAACTGAATTGTGATGAGGTATGTGGCATATTCATGTTACTTTCAACAGGATCCTCACAACTAGTGATAACCCCTTCCCTCATCCCTGACTCCTTATCACATTCTTCACTCCATCTGTCCAAAGATTTTCCACCATCTTAAAGCCCAAATGCCCACTCCAGCCACGCTTGTTAACAAGGCTGACATCATTCAATGGGAGTTGACTCAATTTCCTTCTTTACCTTAAGAGCATTCTGTATCATGATTTTCTTTCTTGTCCACCCTGCTCATCTGAGGAGAGAGTGATCCCTTCTTCCTGTTCATCTACTATACTTGTGATAATTATTTCATTTCTCCATGCCTCTTCCAGGACCCTAAGTCTATCAGTCACCAATTCCAAAACTGAGACAGAGTTTCATTTTAGACGTTCAAATATTTGACTAACTCAGACCAAAAATTCATCATTGATGTATCAGTTTTAGCTTAAAAGGAAGATTTTCCCATGAGTGAATATGAATTCGGTGAAGGAGAGACTCTTTTATTTCTGTCTTCAAATGCCCAGAATCTAGCATGGCACTGGAGAGAGCAGATACATCATAATCTCTTGTTGACCGACTGGTTCATAATTCTAGCTGAATATCCAAAGCATTTGTCTTTGTCCATGTCAACAAGCATTTAATACTTGCCTATTATGTGCCAGGTACTGTGAATGAATGAAGGAATGAAAAGCCTTTATTAAGTATTCACTATGTGCTAAGAACTGTGGTCACAGCTGAGGGTATAAATACAACAATAAGAGTTCATTTACATTCTAAGAAGGAGAGGTAACCAGTAGACAAGGAAAGTGCTTTGGTCTGCGAAATAATGAAGATAGTGAGCTAGTTAAACAAAAGGACAATGGCCTGCCACTTTAGGCAACAGAGATACAGTAGACCTGCCCTTCCAAGTGTTTAAATTCTGTAGGAGGAAATGACGTGTACGTAAGTATATACCAAATAAATACTAGGTAATTTTAGGAGTGAGGTACTAGCAACAAGGGATGGAGAGAAGGATTCAGAATGGCCTCAGGAAGGAGGTGATGGAAACTAGTGATGCTTAATGCCCAGAACTCATTAGTTGACATTTCTATAGTGATTTTGAACAAATGTATAGAAATAATGCTTGTCAAATTAAGAGCCTAAAACATCACCACAAGTTGTGAAGTGATACAACCATTCTGGAGAACAGTTTGGAACTATGCCTAAAGAGCTATAAAACTGTGCATACCCTTTGACCCAGCAATAGCACTCCTAGGGCTGAATCGCAGAGAGATCATACAAATGGGAAAAGGACCCACATGTACAAAAATATTTATAGCAGCACTTTTTGTGGTGGCAAAGAATAGGAAATTAAGGGGATGCCCATCAGTTGGGGAATGGCTGAATAAGAAAATGATGAGCAGGCTGATTTCAGAAAAACCTGGAAAGATTTACAGGAATTGATGCAAAGTGAAATGAGCAGAACCAGGAGAACACTGTACACAGTAACAGCAACACTGTGTGATGATCAGCGATGAATGACTTAGCTCTGCTCAGCAATACAGTGATCCAAGACAATTCCAAAGAACTTATGAAGAAAAATGTTATTCATTAATGGACTTGGAATACAACTTGAAATATGCTATTTTCACTTGCTTTATTTTTTGTATGCTTTTTCCCCCCTTTTGTTCTGTTTCTTCCTATACAAACTAATTAATATGGAAATATGTTTTAGATGATTGCTCATATATAACCTATATGGAATTGCTTATCATGTTAGAGAGGAGGGAAGTGAGGAAGTGAGAGAGAAAATTTGTGATTCAAAATTTTGTTTTGAAACTGAATGTTAAAATTCTTTACATGTAATTGGAAAAAAATACTACTTAAAAGAAAAAAAAAGTTAGTCATCACACAACTTGGCTGTTACTGTGTACAACATTCTCCTCCAATAAAACCACTTTAAAAAACACTCTCTCCCTCTGTCTGTGTGTGTGTTTGTGTGTGTGTGTGTGTGTGTGTGTGAGAAAGAGAGAGAGAGAGAGAGAGAGAGAGAGAGAGAGAGAGAGAGAGAGAGAGAGAGAGAGAGAGAGATTTTCTCTCCTTTATTGGGAAAGGACAGGGGGAGAATATTAGCTATAAATTATGGAGGTAGTCTAAAAACAATTGCTCAAGTCTTTTACTTTAGAGACTTTCAAAGAATCTATTTTTTCACATGGATTTATTTTATTCTTTCTTCTCATAGGCTTTCTGAATCATTAAGTTACTAATGGGAAATAGCTTCAACACACACACACAACACACAAACACACACACGGAGGGGAGAAAAAGAGAGAAAGAACACAAGTTAATTTTGGTAGTTTTGAGATTATGAAATGAGTATTATATGATTAAGAAGAGTAGTTCCAGTTGGGTATTTAATCCATAACAGTTTATTAGCTTAATATGGAACTCTAAGTATTTGAAGAATCAAAGCTAATTTTCTTTCTTTTTCTTTTCAACTAAGTTATGTGTGCCTTGTCTTTTAGTTTCTACAAGGCAAAGAGAATTCGTTATAGAAAACAGAAACTACTTTGAGTTTTTTGTATTTTGGTGATAGTAGTATTTCAAGTTACTATGGACAACGTGATTATTGCAACCTATGGTTAATTCAACATTTTTCTCTGCAGTGACTAATGTGTCTAACTAGTTGGTAGTTAAAGCAGCTGAATTCAGGAATACTTAATTTTTGATTGTTCTGGAGTTCTTTTCTGTTCTGTTTTGTTTTGTTTTGTTTTTACTTTTCTTTGCAATAAAGCATCACATCTTTTGTTGCGAAGATGCTTTTTTTTAATTAAGCCTTTACTTACTCACATACTAAAAAAAATCTTTTAATGTTAATACTCTAAGGCATACATTAATCAAATTAGAAATTAATTTGATAATTATCAAACTGAGAGGTTTTCTATTTTTTCTTTTCAGACAACCTGAGAGTGAAATAAGAAATCATACAAATTAACAAAGAAACTTTCTAAATTTGTATTCTTTTTTTTTAAATGGGAAATTTTGCCATTGAAGCCATTGCAAAGCAATTGCAAATAAATTTCAATTAACTTTGCCTTTGTGGTAAATCATCCTTTTAATGTAATTTTCTAATTAGCTTTTCTTTAGATACAGTTTGAGAACAAGATAAAAAAAATATCTCACAGGCATTCTGTGAAGAATTGGTTTCCATACTATTTGCAACATGGAGTTTTCAATATAGGGTTTTGTGCATTTAAGTAAGCCATCTGTCATGTCAAGTATTCTTGCTGTTGTTTCTGGGTTAAAATAAAATTTAAACTTCTTCTGCTAGGAAAATTCAAGTGCTTTTATTAAAGGATAAAGAAAAAGAAATAAATTAGTTCATTTTATATTCCCAAAAATTGTGTAGTCTAAAACAATTGTTCAAATCTTTTGCTTTAGAGACTTCCAAAGAATCTATTTTTCCACATGGATTTATTTTATTCTTTCTTCTCATAGGCTTTCTGAATCATTAAATTACTAATGGGAAATAGTTTCAACAAACATTGTAGTTTGCATTCATTTTTACTTTCAGTTTTATAAGGTAAAAGCAAAGTTACAACCATAGGAACTCTGGGGAACTCTTCCTAATCAAATTACTAGTATAAAGTACATTTCTTTATAAAAAAAAAAACCCTGATATTCATGTAAGTATATTGTGAGTTGGGAAAACACAAAATTACCATCTAGTGACTGTTTGTACTATATTGCCAAGTTGTAATCTATTCCTTCTCCATTGCTTATAACAGTTACAAGCCAAAATACAGAAAAGGTACAGATGACACCCTTCTACTGATATATTTGAGTTTATTTTAGTAGATCATTATATCTTTAAAAAGCTGACATAAAATAGTAAGGTGAGAAAGTTAGCACAGACGGAAATTTTGTGACTAGGCAAATTCAAAAGATTTATAACCAGTCCTGATTTATAAAATTTTGCAAGATTGCATTTCCAGCATACTGAAAAGTGCGCTAAATGTGGAATTAAAGGACCTACCTTTGTTTGAGTTCTGGTCCTTTGTGACCTTTGGTAAAAGATAACCTCACTGGGCCTCAGTTGCCTCATCTGCAAAATGTGCAGATTAGACTAGATCAGGAGTTGTTGGCCTTTTGTATCATAGACTCTTTTGGAATTATGCTTAACCTGTGGACACTTTCAGAGAATACTTTTTTTGATGTACAAGATACAACTTCTTTAATGTCATTGTTACCAAAAGACTGGCCAACAAGATCCAAATCCTTTTGAACATGAGTAGTATGCTTTGCCAGCTTTCAGCCCACTTGGAAAAGGCTAGTGAGACTTTCTGAAAAGGTACTGCTCTCCAATTCAGGAAATGCACAGCTAATCTGATTATTTGGGCTATACTGTCCTTTCTCTATTGTACTGTCCATTTGGTAAAGAGGAGCTTTTGGGTGGCTGCTGCACTGAAACTAGAAGGCAGGCAAGAGTAATTCATGCCTGTTTTTGGTTTGTTTGGGTTTTTTTTGTATGATTGACTTCAAATAAGAAGTGCCATATGGTTCTATGAAGGGATAGAAGTATTGGGCTTTTATCTTCTCATTTCAGTTACCATCATGCAGACCAATCACGAGCACTACTACAAACTTGGTTTTGTCGATTTTTTTTTCCTGCTCCTAGGTTAAAGAATAGAGGCATAGACTTGAACCTTGCATGTTCAGTGCTAGATTTTTTAGAGAAGACAAGGAAGAGAAGTCCACTGAGAAATAAATCCAGAGCCACCTACTAAATGAAAAAAGGAGATGAATCAAAGGCAGTCAAGAGAG